CTCTGTAAAAAATCAATAAAATATATTTCTTTTAAAACTATCCAATTATTGTAACCTTGGTCTTTCTGCTCTCCCCTTTACTACCCAGCATCAAGACTGTCCTATCTGCTGAAACCGGTTTGGCTCAGTGGTAGAGCGTCAGTCTGCAGACTGAAAGGTCCCGGGTTCGATTCCAGTCAAGGGCATGTATGTTGGTTGCGGGCACATCCCCGGTGGGGGGTGTGCAGGAGGCGGCTGGTCGATGCTTCTCTCTCATCGACGTTTCTGGCTCTCTCCCTTCCTCTCTGTAAAAAAATCAATAAAATATATTAAAAAAAAAAAAAAAGACTGTCGTATCTGCCCTGTACACTGTTGCTAGGTGAATGTTTCTACCTTGACTGAGTGCTTCCTTTACTCAAAGCACCAAGTTACACGCTGCAGGATGCAGAAATGAATCAAACGGAGCTTTGTTTATAGTCTAATGGGGGTGGGGGGTATAGGCAGGAGAAGACTTATGTATGAATAATTTCAGCTTTAAGTTAGAAAGTGGTAAGAACTGAACGAAGACCCAAAGTATCGGTGTCATGGGTAAAAGAAGAGTGAACAGGGGAACAGGAGGAAATAACGTTTTGCGTCCGAGTTAATAACTTTGACCTTTAATCTACACACAACAGGAAGCCGGTGATTTGGGGGTTTTTTGTTTGTTTTTTTAAGTATGTTTTATTGATTTTTTACAGAGAAAAGGAGAGGGATAGAGAGCTAGAAACATCGATCAGCTGCCTCCTGCACACCCCCTACTGGGGATGTGCCAGCAACCAAGACACATGCCTTTGATGAGAATTGAACCTGGGACCCTTCGGTCCGCAGACCGACGCTCTATCCACTGAGCCACACCGGTTAGGGAAGGGAGCCAGCGATTTTGGATCAGAGCTATGTTTGCTTAAACCATGGCAGCTGCAAGCAGGTGGGCTGGTAGGGGTGTGGGCTGGCAGAAGGGCCTCCCTGAGAAAGGTACTGCATTGCCACTACTGTTCAGGGGATGATGACAGGAACTCTGATTAGGCGGAAGCAGTGGGTAAGGTGGATGGATGTCAGAGCTACTGCTGGGTCAGAATCAACAGAATTTAGTCTCTGATGGGCGCAAGGAAGAAAATAAATGGCATCAGGTCCTGACATGAATGTGTCTGTGAGATCCTCCCTTCCCAACTGGTGGGCGGAGTTATGACGTTACTGGCACCTGCCACAGACACACCCCCAAGACATGGAACCACCAATCAGCGTGTGCCGAATTGCCCTGGAGCCCGCCCCTTCCTGTTCCTCCCCTCAAAAGGCTCACCCCCATGCTGCTCTCCATCTCCATCTGTGGAGGCAGCCCGGCTGCGTCCTTTCTCCTCTCCCCACTCCTTCAAGTCTGATTTCTCTACCTCCCGCTCATTACTGAGGAATAAGCTTTTTTAATATGTCTCGGTGGTCACTTTTCTTGAGCCTCAAACCTTACAGTATCCGCGCTGGAAACTGGTGACAGTATTAACAAAAAGGGTGCACAGCCTGGACAGCCGTTTGGGAGGTAAAGAGGCCAAGTCAGGCCCTAGCTGGTCTCGCTCAGCGGTTAGAGCAGAGGGGGGGGGGGGGTCGGCAAACTCATGAGTCCACAGAGACAAATCTCAACAGGACGACGATTGAAATTGCTTTGCAGAGCCACGTGTTTTTTTTTAACGTAAACTTCTAACGCCACGTCTTCAAACTAGAAGGGTGGTTTCTAGCCGTGTTATTTTTTTTTTTTTTGGAAGAGCCACACTCAAGGGGCCAAAGAGCCGCGTGTGGCTCTCGAGTCGCAGGCTGTTGGGCTACTGGGATAGAGCGTGGGGCCTTGCAGACTACAGGGTCCCGGGGTTCCATTCTGGTCCAGGGCACATGCCTGGGTTGTGGGCTCCATCCCCAGGAGGCAGCCAATAAATGATTCTCTCATCATGGATGTTTCTATCTCTCCTCCCTTCTTCTCTGAGATCAACAAGATTATATATATATATATATATATATATATATATATATATATATATATATATATATTTTTTTTTTTTTTTTTTAATTTTTTTTTAAGAGGCCAAATCAAATGCTCTATCTGGTTTGGCTCAGTGGACTTAAAGGTCCCAGGTTCGATTCCGGTCAAGGGAATGCACCTTGGTTGTGGGCACGTCCCCAGTGGGGGGTGAAGGGGGGGTGCAAGAGGCAGCTGATCGATGTTTCTAACTCTCTATCCCTCTCTCTTCCTCTCTAAAAAAAAAAAAAAATGAATAAAATACATTTTAAAAACTAAAATAATAAAATGAGGCCAAATCATGTTTGGGACAGTCAGCGTGTATACATGCACCTGCAGAGCCCTGAAGAGACTCGGGAGGCTCCTGGGTTCAGGCGAATCAGGCCGAAGGGGGTGGGGTGTTTGGGCAAAAACACGCGCGAAAGGGACTCGGAACTCTTAAGGGCTGAGGCCCGACCTGGCGGGAGGCGGCGGCACCGCGTCCCTGAGGGAACCCGCTCGGCCCGGCGCCCCGCCGGAAGCAGCCTTTCCCTCCCTTCTCTGCAGAGGAAGTCCCAAACCTTCGTCCCTACCCGCCACCGGCTCCCAGTCAGGGGGACTGAACACCCGGCGACATCTTTTCCTGAGAGTCGCGCTCGGCGTTGGCACGGCTGCCTGTTCACCTGAGAGCGCGCCACAGGGCCGAGCTCCAAGTCTCGCGAGGCTTGGCGTGCGTGGCGCGCATGCGCGGGAGATCGCCGGAAGCGGAAGTCAGGGCGCCATCGGATTTTCTCTGACAAGAGCGGCTCCGTTACCTGGGAGGGGAGAGGAGAGGTGAGTGTGGGGCCGCACGGACGCGTTGGGGGGCGTTGGGGGGCCGGAAGTGGGTGTCCCGCGCGTTTCGCCCGCCGCCAAGCTCAGCCCGAGCTGAGGAGGAGACACAGCGATTGGGAGGGTGAGTTGTGGGTTTTGGGCGCCGGGGAGGAGGGAGGCGGGCGAGCCCAGGTGTCTGTTCCCCGGGCACCGAGCGCTTTTCGCGAGATCGAAGGCCCCTTACTTACCCTTCTTTTCTTTTTTTAAAATATTTTTATTGATTTTTTTTTTTTTACAGAGAGGAAGGGAGAGGGATAGAGCGTTAGAAACATCCATGAGAGAGAAGCATCCATCAGCTGCCTCCTGCGCGCCCCCCACTGGGGATGTGCCCGCAACCAAGGTCCATGCCCTTGACTGGAATTGAACCTGGGACCCTTCGGTCCGCAGGCCGATGCTCTATCCACTGAGCCACACTTCTCTGGGCCCTTACCCTTCTGGGTCTGTAGTTTCCTCTGCGCCTGGACGTTCAAGGGGCGCGGTCTTGGGGGACCGGCTCTGTGGGCTTTGTTGGGGGGAGGGAAGGGGAAAGAGAGTGAAAATAGTGGTGGTTTCTAGTCCTTAGCTTCCTCGGTCTCTCCTCCTGGGGCAGCGAAACCCCCCATTCTGCTGAGTCCTTTCCAAGGTATTCGCCTGCAGCCAGAAGGACTCAGTGTGGTTTTACTGGTGGTAAATAAACTAATGTTGGGGTGCAGATCTGAAAGGCAGTGCCCTTTTATTTCTTTGTTATTATTATTATTATTTTAACATTTCTTTATTGATTTCAGAGAGGAAGGGAGAGGGATAGAAAGATAGAAACATCAGTGATGAGAGAGAATCATGGATCAGCTGCCTTCTGCACACCCGACTGGGGATCCAGCCCACAACCCGAGCATGTGCCCTTGGCTGGAATCGAACCTGGGACCCTTAAGTCCACAGGCTGACAACGCTCTATCCATTGAGCCAAACCAGCTAGGGCAACGTCCTTTTATTTCAACGGACAAGAACTTAACGCCGCAAAGTTCTTATTGGCTGGGAAGGGTCAGGGGACATGTCTTTTTATCTTGGCACTTTGTTGATTTTTTGCTAATCCTCACGGGAGGATATTGTTCCATTGGCTTTGAGAGAGGGAAAGCCAGAGAGAAACTTGATGTGAGAGGAACACATCTCATGGTTGCCTCCTGCACGCCCCCGACCCTGGTCGCAGGGGAAGAGCCTGCAGCCAAGGTACACGCCCTGGACCGGAATCGAATGAAATCGAACCGGGGACCCTTTGGTCTGCAGGCCAGCGCTCTATCCACTGAGCTAAACCGGCTAGGGTTTCGCTGGCACTTTGGCGCACTCAAGAATTAGCGTTGGAAGACTTTAGAGCACTTTTAATTTAACCCCTGAAGCCCTTATCACCCATCACCCACCCCTTTTGAGGGTTTTTTTTGAGGGAGTCACGTTTTGTTTTGTTTTCCTTCCCACACATCTAGGCAACTTAAACATTAAATCCCGGAGCTAAGTAAAGCTTGGGTCAGTTAAAATTCTATTTATTTTTATCTTAATTAAATTTCTTGCAGTAACATTGGTAAATAACATTCTATTTAAATTTCATGCCAAAACCGGTTTGTCTCGATGGAAAATCATTGATCAGTGATAGAAAGAAAATCATAGGCTGCGGACTGAAAGGTCCCAGATTCGATTCCGGTCAAGGGCATGTACCTTTGTTGCGGGCACATCCCCAGTAGGGGGTATACAGGAAACAGCTGATGGATGTTTCTCTCTCACTGATGTTTCTAACACACTCTCCCTCTCCCTTCCTCTCTATAAAAAATCAATAAAATTTATTTATTTTATTTTTTAAAATATATCTTTTATTTATTTTTTACAGAGAGGAAGGGAAATAGAGAGCCCCTCCCACTGGGGATGTGCCCACAACCAAGGTACATGCCCTTGACCGGAATCAAACCCGGGACCCTTCAATCCCCAAGCCGACGTTCTATCCATTGAGCCAAATCGGTTTTGGCCCTTCTTGGCTTTTCACTGGTAACAGTGTTACTTGGGGGGGAAAAAATTCTAATGGAAACATATTAAAAAACTGTACAGGATTTCAGAATGACCGATACTTCTGAAGCTGCTCCGAATTTCGAAGAGATGTTTGCCAGCCGGTTCACAGAAGACGACAAAGAATACCAGGAATACCTGAAACGCCCTCCAGCGACCCCTCCGATTGTGGAGGACTGGAACAGCAGAGCTGGTGGGGGCCAGAGGAATAGAGGCAATTGGTACGTATTACTTCAGAAGAGTGAATTGTGGGTGGCTCATCTGGAAGAAAATAGCTTTAAAAAAAAAAAAAAAATATATATATATATATATATATATATATATATATATATATATATATATATATATCCGAAACCGGTTTGGATCAATGGATAGAGCGTCAGCTTGGGGACTGAAGGGTCCCGGGTTCGATTCCGGTCAGAGGCATGTACCTTGGTTGCGGGCACATCCCCAGTAGAGGGTGTGCAGGAGGCAGCTGATCGATGACTCACATCGATGTTTCTAACTCTGTATCTCTCTCCCTTCCTCTCTGTACAAAATCAATAAAATATATTTTAAAAAAAAAAAATATATATATATATATTATTTTTTATAGAGAGGAAGAGTCAGAAACATCGATGAGAGAGAATCATCCATCAGTCGCCTCTTGCACACCCCCCACTGGGGATGTGCCCACAACCAAGGTCCATGCCCTTGACTGGAATCGAACCTGGGACTTTTCAGTCCGCAGGCCGACGCTCTATCCATTGAGCCAAACCGGTTTTGGCATGGAAGAGAATAGCTTTAATCTGCTAGGACAGGGACCAGTATTTTTTGTTTTGTGTTGTTTTTTTAATATATACTTTTATTGATTTCAGAGAGAGAGAAATATCAGTGATAGAAAGAAAATCATTGATCGGCTGCCTCCTGCAAGTCCCTCACTAGGGATGGAGCCCGCAACCCGGGCACGTGCCCTGACCTGGAATTGAACTGTGACCTCCTGGTTCACAGGTCGATCGATGCTCAGCCGCTGAGCCATGCTGGCTGAGCAGACCAGTGTTTTTGTTCAGTATGATATACCTAGTGCCTGGCACTAATTAAGTTGCTGGTAAGTATTTGCTTTCATATTTTATCAACCCATGTATTTTTTTCCTTAGTGTTCAATTATGTGTGCCTAAGTGTGTTAATGTTGTTGTTGTTTTTATATATTTTCATTGATTTTTACAGAGAGGAAGGGAGAGGGAGAGAGTTAGAAACATTGATAAGAAACATCGACCAGCTGCCTCCTGCACACCCCCTATCGGGATGTGCCCACAACCAAGGTACATGCCCTTGACCGGAATTGAATCTGGGACCCTTGAGTCCGCAGGCTGACGCTCTATCCACTGAGCCAAACCAGTTTCAGCAATGTTGTTTTTTAAGACATTCTTTCTGTGGACTAATATTTTTTTTTAAAATATATTTTATTGATTTTGTACAGAGAGGAAGAGAGAGAGATAGTCAGAAACATCGATGAGAGAGGGTCATCCATCAATCAGTTGCCTCTTGCACACCCCCCCACCAGGGATATGCCCGCAACCAAGGTACATGCCCCTGACCGGAATCGAACCCGGGACCCTTCAGTCCCCAAGCCAACGCTCTATCCACTGAGCCAAACCGGTCCCGGCACTGTGGACTAATATTTTATTTGCAAATAAATACATTTTAGAAACTTAGAGCCTTATACAAAACTTTGTGTACAATTCCATTAAAAGGTGATGCTTCTGATTTCATTTTAGAAAGTTTATACAGTGGAAGTTACTTAATTTAAAATAGATAAAAGGAATAAATTACCATACTGTGTTTTTTAAACAATTGAATAGTTTTTAGTTTGATTAAAAGCTAGCCTACTGTTTGGAGTTTCGGGTTATAGTCTGTCTGTTTGTCTGCAAAACATGTCCAGTGTAACTGGGAGAATGACTTAAATCTTAAGAATGTTTTGAGTCGAAACAGGTTTGGCTTAGTGGTAGAGCGTCTGTCTGCGGACTGAAAGGTCCCAGGTTCGATTCCGGCCAAGGGTTGTGGGCACATCCCCGGCAGGGGGTGTGCAAGAGGCAGCTGGTCGATGTTTCTCTCTCATTGACGTTTCTAGCTCTCTATCTCTCTCCCTTCCTCTGTAAAATGTCAGTAAAATATAGAGAAAAATGTATTTTATTCTCATTTATTAAGTACTCGATTGAGAAATCAATGCAACAGGACTGATTTGTCATGTGTTTTCTTAAAAGTGTAATTTTGTCGTTGTTGTTGTTGTAGGTTGCAAGATAACAGACAGTTTAGAGGTAGGGACGGCAGACGGGGGTGGCCCAGTGACAACCGATCCAACCAATGGCACGGGGGACGCCCCTGGGGTAACAACTACCAGCAGCACAGACAAGAAGCGTACCACCCTCACCAGTATGGCAATTACGGCTACAACCAGCGGCCTCCCTACGGTTACTACTGAGAAACGTCAGCTTTTCCTAAAACCGTTTACTTTGTTAGCAAGACAAACATGTGTGTGTTTTCTGTTGGTCGTCCTTTTGCATCTGACTTTGGAAAATAATTTTTGGAACGTGAGACATTTTTTTAAAAATGAGATCTTTCTGGAGTGGTGGGATGGTTGCTGGGAATAAACACCTCCCTAAAAAAAGTTGTGGGTTATATTGCTTGACTTCTACCTCAGACTCTTCGTTTCATGAACGTGGTATATCTTTTCCTTGTTTGACCTCCAGGAGTTATTTGTTTTACTCAGAAATAAAACAGGAATTTTAAAATAGAAAATGCTTGCTTTTACTTTGTAACATAGGAAGTTTCCAGGTACTAGGATTTGCTCATTCCTAAAATTTTGAGAGACTGGTAAAAATCAACTAGTGAATGCACAACTATACTTAGTTGTAATGAATTGTACAATAACTTCAGAAGTTGGAAGATAAAGCAATTGTAGTTGTATTTCTTTTTTGGCTCTTGTCATGTGACTATGGTACTTTCTAATTACTCTTTAGATATGATTCAGCTCCATAATAGTTTTGGTCTCTTTTTATTTTATTTTTTTAATTTTTAATCTTCACCTGAGGAGTAAGGATATTTTTTCCAGATTCTAGATAGTAGGGAAGGGGGAGGGAGAGAGAGGTGATTGGTTGCCTCCTGCACTCCCCCAACTGGAGGGCAGGGTGGGAATTCCAACCCAGGTGTGTGACCTTGACTGGGAATCAAACCAGTGACCCTGTGTGTGCAGGCCAGCTCTAACCATTGAGCAACACCTGCCAGGGCGTGGTCTTTATTTAGAGGAATATCAAGAATCAAACTAAAATGAGGAAGGAATCATTCTTAAGTTTTAGGGTCTAGACCTAATGATCTAGAGTGGGATTAGGGCACAATCATTTTATATAAACTCAATGTATTATAGTAGGTAAAAATGCATACATTAAATAAAAGTGTGACAGAAACTGTGATATTCCCCTTCCTCTTCCATCATGTAAATAAGGCTGCATTATTTGACTTTCCTTACTTTTATGGTTCTAGATGTGGGTTGATTTTACAATGTTACATTCGCTTTCAAATGTGCATCTTCTGCATTCTCTTCTATAAACACTGTGATGTTGTCACATCCTTTCGGGGTGATGATTATATTTCAAATCATTGTAATGGCCATTACATGGTTTTATTTCAATAAAATACTGAGAATACTAATTAATTTCTCTCTCGGTTTTGGCAGTTAGCCTACTCATTAATTGGTGAGATGGGTTTTTGTCTTTTTTATGACTCGGTCCTTCATGTCCACTGAACACAGTTCATTTGGTTTAAAAATAATATTAAAAGTACAAGTTTCGTCAAAACCCGTGTGACTCAGTGGATAGAGCATCGGCCTGCGGACTGAAGGGTCCCAGGTTCAATTCCAGTCAAGGGCATGGACCTTGGTTGCGGGCACATCCCCAGTAGGGGGTGTGCAGGAGGCAGCTGATGGATGATTCTCTCTCATCGATGTTTCTAACTATCTCTCTTCCTCTCTGTAAAAAATCAATAAATTAAAAAAAAAAAAAAAAAGTACAAGTTTCATCAGAGCTCAAGGAATTAAAAGGCAACTTCCTAAATCTACCTCCTCCCTAAGGACTCCACTCTAGGCCCGTGGGGTTGACTGCTCCAGCTATTGCTCCATCCTCTCCCTCTTAGTCACCCCAGTTCCCACAGAGCCATCCTTTCAAGGAGCTCATTTTGGGGAAAAGCTCTATGAACCAAGTAAGTCTTCACACTCAGTATGAATAACAAGGTGATTCCTCTGGCCCTCTCATCACATCCGTAGGCAGCAAGCCAGCGCTGTTCCATGAAGGAAGAAGGTCTTGGACTACACCTATTTAGCCTAGCCCAGGGGTCGGCAAACTCATTAGTCAGCAGAGCCAAATACCAACAGCACAACAACTGAAATTCCTTTGGAGAGCCAGATTTTTTCAACTTAAACTGCTTCTAACGCCATTTCTTCAACATAGACTCGCCCAGGCCGTGGTATTTTGTGGAAGAGCCACACTCAAGGGGCCAAAGAGCCGCATGAGGCTCGAGAGCCGTAGTTTGCCGACCACGGGCCTGGAGCGTTAACAATGGCATGACTGTACCCGGATGTTCTCTAAAAGCAGACGGGTTAGTAAAAGTATTTATCAGCTGATGCAGCCCAGGCACTCCCAGTGGGGAGAGGAGCTGAGCAGATAGAGCAGGATCCTGGAGGCCACCTGCTGTTTTTGCTTTTGACATTAATTGGGGAGATCTAACGGTACACAGCTGGGTTGTTGGGAGGGGTGCCTCTCAGTTCAGAAAAAAGTTGATTTTCCAACAATATTTAAATATTTTAACACTGATATTACCGAAACCGGTTTGGCTCAATGGATAGAGCGTCGGCTTGGGGACTGAAGGGTCCTGGGTTCGATTCCGGTCAGGGGCATGGACCTTGGTTGCGGGCACATCCCCAGTAGGGGGTGTGCAGAGGCGACTGATGGATGACTCTCTCTCATCAATGTTTCTAACTCTCTATCTCTCTCCCTTCCTCTCTGTACAAAATCAATAAAATATATTTTAAATAAAAATAAATATTTTAACACAGGTACATATGACCTGATTACCGGCCCTGCTTGAAAATACAGTAAGCATCTTCCCGATGAGTTATTTCTGCATTCTGTAGGAGTTATTGACGCTATGTGCTATTGG